CCAATTGAGATAAAATTTATAAAACATAAAATTCACCATGTTAACCATTTGAAAGTGTACAGTTCAGCCGTTTTATAATATTAACAATCTTACTCAACCAATGTCACTGTCTAATTCCAGAACATTTCATCACCCTCAAATCACTGTTTTCTTGACACCTAGAAGCAGTGGGAGCTTTAATCTTGAGGAAGTTTGCAGGAGGAGAGATACAAAGAGGAACAGAAAGTTTGGGCTGAGTGCCTGGAAGTGAACATCATGATAAAAGATACTCTTTAAAATGTTGATTAAAAATTGGTTCTGGGGTGCTGGCAAAGAGTTATCTCTCCCGACTTTCTTAAGCATATAAGACAGAAATAGTCTGATTCTTAAAATTAATGAGATGGTGTTTAAAAACAGTCTGTGTCATTGAAAGATTACTGATGTCAATGCTATTATACAAGCCTTCCCTCAAAATGTGCCTGGCTCTGTTCAGACATTGAGTCCTGGCTCAGCCTGCCCCAGGATTACCTGCACTACCTGGGACTATCTTCTCAAAACAAAGAGATGACATAAAAGTTGATATGGCTTTCACTGGAACAATGGGAACATGCAAATAGGGGTTAGATACTATATTGTGCATATTAAGAGAAAGTAATTAAAAGAAAAAAAATCCAGAAGAGTGCATTTCCTTTCGTACACTAGCTTGAAATCTATAAACCTGGTCCCTGATGTTCTGATCAAACACAGGAGCTTTCATCATAGCAAGTGACTTAATGCTCCTGAACCAACAAAAGGACGTAGTCAATGAGATCTTTTGCAAAGTAATTTTGCCCTTCTAAGCCAAAGGAAACAAAGATTGTTTTGAAATTTAACCTTAGGCTCCTGCACACTAAGATTTACCAAAAGGTGGACTCATGCTTCGAAAGGGTACAATAGGCATTTCACTAAATTCTGCTAGTAAATAAAGCTGTAAGCACTTCAGGTGCAGGCTGTGGAAATGACGGAAGGAATCTGCCCTGGGCTGTGATTATTTGAACAAAGTAAAATCAACAAACAACACTGAGGCTGTAAGTAAGTTTCCTGCTGTGCCAGTTTTATAATAAAGGTGTTTTTCTTTTCAGCTGAACTTTCCATCCACTTAAATCATTTATTTCTTTGGAGGTAATTTAAGTGCATAGCCAATGAAATAGTTTACTATGTTTATGCACTAAGAAAAAAGTTTGGTAGCTCACTGTTTCATCAATTTGAATATGCTTGAAAGTATTCCTAGTATTCTGGAACATCCAGGAAGAAAATGCCTATTTGGATAAAAAGAAATTCTCATTTATTTGGAAATATCTCATTATTCTGCTTGTTAGAACTGTAGGCATCAGTTTGTAACTATAACAGAGAAGTAGTTTTATGTTAATCCAGTTAGCATGTCATTTATAATCAACACAGTTTTCCCCTCTTGTAATTGCAACTGCTACAAAAAGGCAGGCCTTCGGAGTAGGCGACTGTGATGTCACTCAATGGAGGCTGGAAGGGGACTCCTTTCCCAAAGTGGTTCATTCTCAGTCTATTATGGAATCTGAAATTATACCATTGGACATTTATTTCTGGATCATGAAGATCTTTCGTTTGTAAAAAAGAATCTATTCAAAAACTACGAATACTCATGGATGGGTGACCCATTAAGCATTACGTTCTATTTATATTTGACCACTAACAGAGTGTATTAGTCATGTTGGTTTTCTCCTTCGCTCTTTCTTTTCAGTAATGGGCTATCCGTTTTTCTAAGAACGTGCTTTTCTCCCAATCCAGACCTGTGGTAACTATCAGTCAGAACATCCCCCTTCCCCACCCTTATTTCCAGCTACACCACCACCCAGGAGTGAGTGCATGATGGGAGCTTGTCCAACCATAGTTTCCTACCCTGGCCACAAAGATTTTTCACATACCCTCATGGATACCCAACCCATGCCAGGACAGGGTTCATTTTCTTTTTTTCTTTTTAAAATATGTTTTATTGATTTCAGAGAGAGGAAGGTAGAGGGAGAGAGAGATAGAAACATCAATGATGAGAGTCATTGATCGGTTGTGTCCTGCACCCTCCTACTGGGGATTGAGCCTGCAACCCGGGCATGTGCCCTGACCAGGAATCAAACTGGGATCTCCTGGATCATGGGTCGATGCTCAACCACTGAGCCACGCTGGCAGGGCTAGAGTTCTTTTCTTATACTTTTTCTAACTGGAAAAATGCTTTCTTTTCTTGCTGGAAAAATGCTCTCTTTCCTCTCCGGAGGACAGGTAAGGAAGGCAGGCCAAAGCTGCCGTGTTTCTAGTCTCTTCTGACATCCTGCTTGAGAGAATCAAATCTCAATGTAGAGAGAAGCAGAGGCGAGAGACGGAGTGATATCTGAGACCCTGAATCCATCAGACTCCAAGACTAATGGCATGCCCTTTCTCAGTTTACTTATACTTGTGCCAATAAATCACCCTTTCTCCTTAAGCTATTATGACTGGGGCATCTGTCATTTGCAAACAAAGGTCTGAGAACTGAAAACAAACATTTTATAAAAGGACACAAGATAACTAGGGGAAGGGTGGTGTTCTGGTTGAGGAATGTGTGTGGGAGGTGGGTCAGCTCTAATTGTCCTGTGGTGAAATGGGGGGTGGGGGGTGGGGG